AGCATGGGCCGTCCCCGAAAACGCTTTCCCGCCGAAAAAACTTCCACGTGCCCTTACATGAGAACCGCGCGGACTTGAGCGCCCATTTTAGGGATACGAGCCCACACGTGTATGTAGATTAAGTCACCAAATTTTTCATCTTTGCAGCTTTTGCGGATCTCGAGATGAAAACTCGTTACATAAGCACACACAAACACACATACGCGCACACATACATACACACACAGACAGACAACCCCTCGACAATATGCGTTTTTGCATTGCATAGCTGCAAAAAACGCATAAAAACTCGGCTCGGCTCGGTTGGTCTCACACATGAGCCGCAAAAAAATTTTCCGTACGGCAGGTAGGATTGCCCCACGGCGGATGGCGGTAGTTTGACTGTGGCAGGTGGAAGCGGAGGTGGAATGTGGCGGGTTTCATTCGCGGCAAGGGAGGGGGCTAGGATAGGTGAATATAAGCACTAAATGACATAGATCCTTTGCCGGTTGACTAAATAACGTACGTTTGAAGGGGAAAGGGGAGTGGTGAAGAACGGAAAGGATGAGGAAGTATGCTCCTGGGACTTCCCTTTTTATGAAACTGATGCTTAGTTAAAGCTGTTCCACAAAAACTCGTCATTAGGCTTCCCTGTTTATGAAACTGATGCTTAGGAAAAGCTGTTCCACAAAAACCCGTCAATAGGCTTCCCTATTCATGATGATACTTAGGTAAAGCTATTCCATAAAAACCCGCCATCACACTTTCCCAATTATGAAACTGATGCTTAGGTAAAGCTGAGAGCGAATAAGTTCCATGAAGTGGGCAAAAACAGGGTAGAATGGATGCCTGGGGATGAAATTCGCCTTTGCTCCGATAAGATTATAAAGACAAAAAAAGGCAAAGGTATAACTGTTGTGCACAGTTGCAAACTGTGAGAGGCAACACTGTGGTACTGTCTGCAATTTTTGTGTAATCCAGTCGGGCTTATTTGCCCGCAGCTTCACCTAAACACAAGTTTCAGCAAATCCTGTCGAACTTATTTGCCTCAGCTACACCTAAGCATAAGCTTTACTGATTTTGTTTTTTTTCTTTTATTCACAAATTCGGTTTGTTTTAATATACTTTTCTTTGTAGTGCCGTGTTGGTTTATTTTCCTCTCTATTGCTATCTGCAGTTCTTGCTTCGAACTCCAGACCAGCACCTTCTTCCCTTCCTGTATCGTATCCTCAATTCCTGCCTCCAGAGCTGCATCGGGGCACTCGTCACCTCCAACCACTACCACCGTTTATCATTTTAAACTCCTAACCAGCAACATCATCCCGCCCCACTATCCTGGCCTCTATCG